TTCTGCTCCGGTTTTAGCCTGTTGCAGATCGAAGAAAAGGATAAACACGGACCAAAACAGCCGACCGCTAAAATTCTCTTCAGACAGGGACTGAATTTTATTTTTATTTTTTTTTATTTTTTAGCTATTTAGAGAGATATGCTAGAGACGGAAATCCAACAGTGCCGGGACTCGCACTCTATGACTTTCCAATTCATACTGCACAGAGGACTTCGGAATTAACGAAAGAAGCGGTCGTGTGAAAAGGGAAACGCCCGAGCAGAGAACTTTAAATGATACGTGGCACGTGAGGAGCGGCGCTTTTGAAATTGGCGCGCTTCTCGGGGCTCGCCGCTTTAAGATTTACAACCACCGGGCCCGGAGCGAAGGGCGAATCACCGGCGTGACACAGCCCCTACTACAAATGGCGGCTGCAAGGGCTTGCAGTTTAACTCTGTAATGGCCGGATCCACGGCCACGTACAAGCGCCCGAGAGATATGCTGCAGTAGGCAGAACGCCAATATTTGCATGAAAATGGCTGTAAACAATGCCAAAAGCGTACCGAACGACTGCCTTTCCTGAACTTGTTTATTTTCTATGTTACAGATCAGCCATAGATGTCCGAAAGGATAGGGATGGCTACACAGCAGGGAAGTATGGCAGCGTTGCACCTCGCGAAACTGTGCTGCAAAGCGATGGGCGAAACGCTGGCAGGGAGTGAGCCTACACCGGCCAGTCGTCCGGGAGCGGAGCAGTCGGTGAGGCAGCGGCCAGTCAGCCGCCGGCCAGCACGCGCTGCACGTTGAGAGAGGAGCCGTGCAGCCCAACAGTGTCCAGCAGCCGGGCGCGAGATGGACACGGCCGGCTACGCGAGGTCCCAGGTGACGGGGGAGACTCACCGCCACGCAAACCCCCGGCACCGCAGCAACACGATGCCACGTTTAGCCCACGGTGGCCCCGTTTGTATCGCGCTCAGCCCCAGCACGGGGAGAACAAGTAAGAGGTGGCTCGCCCTTTAGAAAGACTGCAGCAAGCTAGTGTAAATAAAGGTGGAATTAAGTATAGTTAAAGTTGATGGCCAACTTTTAATTACTGAATACTTCAGCATATATTTATTTTTTCATTGTATACATCGATTAAGTATTGTTCGTGGATCAATTATATTCATTCACATATTTGTTTTTATCTTCGGATTCGTACAAAGAGATTTTTCTCAAAGATATTTAGCTAGATATTTTCATATTTTGTAGACAATAAGCACAAATATAAGGATATTACAGATCAAAAGGAAATGCATATAAACTATTGATCTATAAGTGTTTCTCAGCAAATTGGTTCAAAAAGCATTGTTCATATATGTAGGTAAAATATTGGATATCTATTTTCATTACAAAGGCATTCAACATATTATTCATATTATAAATATTTAGGTAAATTATTCAATTATTTGCAAATGTAAACATTCCATAATATTAGAATGTACTTGAAACACCTCACCTCACGTAACTCGACTCAAATTCGCCTCACTCTAAGTCTGTTGGTAATCATGCAATTACCAGCGCACTGCAACCTTCGTCGTTCCAAGATCCCGCGTCATTTGTTTCCCCCACCCGGGCGCTGTGGACCTACTAGCCGTCGCGGGGTAAATGGAGGGCGAAGAGGAGCATTTACAGCGCGGGGCGGCCAGAGCGATGCGAGGCGATGTCGGCGGGAGGGCGAAAGGGTAGTGGGGAGTGGAGAGGGCTGCGTGTAGCGGTGCGGGGCGAGCAGAGCGGGGGCGGGAGCCCCTGGGGTCGAGGTTGAGTCGGGCTGCGGAGTAGGGGCGGGTAGGACAGTTGGCTGGGTCGCGGGGCAAGGCCAGGCGGGGCAGGGAGACGGGTTGTATGGAGGGAGGAGGGATGTGTCGGTCAGAGCGTGGAGGGTGGAGAGGTCGCGGGGGCTGTGAGAAAGGGCAAGGAGGGCGGAACGCGAGCGGCAATGTGGGGCGGAGTAGAGCGGGGTGAGAAGAGTGGAAAAGGGAGATACGAGTGGGACGAGACTATGTGTGTTGGGCCGGGAAGGTGTGAGGCAACAGGCAGAGTGGAGCGGTGAGAGAAGCGTGCGCGGGGCGAGAGCCGTTGGTAGGACGGAGAAATGTGGCGCGGGGAGGGGTCGGATACGAGGGGGTGAGGAGGGCAGGCCGATATAGTGGGGCGAAACGAGAGGCGTGGTAAGATGGGACCGAAGAGGTCGAGTGGGACAAGAGGTGAGTGCCGGACGAAGGCGTCGGAGTAAGTGGGGCGAAGTTAAGTACGCGGCAGCGTGAGCGCAGTGACAAACGGCCAAGGTGCGGAGCGCGGAAGGAGTGAAACGGCGGGGCTGCGGTGAGCCCTAGTGGAGCCTCGAGGGAGGGCGCGGGAGCCGATGCACGAGTGGAGCGAAGACGGAGCGAACTGGGCCGACCTGCATTGAAGTGGGGGAGGGATAAGTAGCAGAGGCGAGAGACGGCGTGAGGCGGGCGGCGGGCGGCGGGAAAGGTGAGGCGGAGCGGTGGGGGCGGTGGAAGTCCGAGTGCGCCGCTACTTCCCGGGAGATGAATGGCGCCCTATTAGAGCGCGGGTGGGCCGAGACGTGACATTAAGAAGCAGATGACGTCGTAACTCCTCAGCTCCCTCGCCCGCGCCACCGCTTCTGCCGACTCGGTCGCCTCCATCTCCGCAGTCGCTACAGCCATCAATGCAACCGCTACATCCACTGACTTCGTCGTCTCTGCCACCACCATCCCCAGTGCTGCCTTTGCCGTCATCGCATCCGCGGACTCCCCTGCTGGCCGCTTATCGTTTCCCTTTCCTCTCGCCTGTGCTATGATCGCCCCCCCTGCCACCACAACCACCTCCTTTGCGATCTAATGATTCTTTAATTAGCACCAATCATTAGCTGCACGCTGTAAGCTCCTCGCACCCGCCGGCGTTACTTTCGTCACCTCGTCAATTCTAGTCCTACCTACTGCTCCTGTAATCACTTTCCGCCCAGTTTGTGACCATTCTTACACGCCGCAATTACTTCTTCGAAAGCGATATGATTATTGATATAGATCATATTGAGATATTAATTTCATTTTCCACAATTTTCCATAAATATTTACGTATTTTCATTCTATCCACCATTATTTGCCATTCCCTTTCTTACATGTTTTACATTACCGCCGCTATTCTATCCTTATACTGTCTTCTGTGTTTTCATAAATTCATTCTCAGCCACGTCATTTCCCTTCAATATCTGGCTAGTATGCCGTGATGCAAATACAAGAACGTACTATAATAAGGAAGGAAAGTTTTGCCTTGTCCAAACAGGATAAGTCATCGCTCATTTGATTGAAATATGAACTCCGTGGATTTGAGATAGTTTTGACGAACAGAAAGTCTGTGAATGGTAGTACAACCCAGTACATAACTGGGCGTGATTATATGTTATTAACTGAATCTTCGCACACCGAAGAGTCGTAGGTTGCATTTCGATCAGCGACAAAGTTTTGACACTGACTAATTTGCTGGGTCAGATGGCGGCACCGTCTTGATGAGATTTCTACAGGGGTCATAGAATGTTATAAACGTCAAGGGTAGATAGAGGCGGAGAAGACAAATTATGGCAATAAACATGTGGTGAGAAATGTCATAAATCTAAGTCACACAATACGATAACACATTTAAACATATTTACTTCCGATTGGCAGGCAACTCGCCCTACACTAGTGTTTTGCAGAAACACAATAAATCTCTAACTACGTCGTACGTCCGCTGAACACCAATGCACGATACCAACATGGGTACCCTATTTATTATTAAGAGAAAACGTCACAAGTTCATTACACGAAATTACAAAAGACAAGTCCATTGGCAGAATGTAATAATTTTTGATTCTCTACTTTTCTTATATGTTTGTAACATTTGCAATATCTTTTAGGTAGACTAACTTTGATCGGTTCTTTCGATATTTTTTTCGATTAACTCAAGGTGGAAGCTTCACCGTAACTACAGCGACAGGATATTAAAAAATCCTTTCTGTTCCATATAGGGCTTTTGGCTGATCATTCAACAGGAATTTTATAAAGGAATCGAAAATGTAACAAGTGTGTTGGTTTTTAAACACTACCTTGTTTTGGTTTTCTAGTATCTTGATATGCAGAACAAACCACACGGAGTCTTCCTTCAATTGACGGATTTTTTTCCAAATCCATGTAATTATCTCATTAATGCTCGGGGTTGTGTGATTTATTAGGTATAAATTTAGTTTTAGAAGTTTACAAATTAGATTGAAATCGAGGTACTCGATCTCAGAGTAAAAACAGTAGAGCTCATTGAGTGTTTTCATTCCCGCAAACACCGCAGGGTATGAGAGGGTGGGGCGTGTGTGTGTTGGAGTGAGGGGTGAGGGAGAGCCTAATCGCGTTTAATAATTACGCGAGAGCCGATGGCTAATGTGCAGACGGAGATCGATCGGAGGGCCAGAGGTTGCGCTGAAGTGGCTGTCGGAGGCAACTGCACGACAAGGGACTTCAGTGCCTCGTAAATACATAAAGGGGTTAGGAATTGAGCACATTGGTGCTTAGCGGAGTCACATTGCCACCGAAGAGTTCTGTTCAATATTAACCAAAACTATTATGCCAATTTGTATACGTACCGTTCACTCATTACCTCAATCAATGCTCAACCAACATAACTAGAACTACTAAACTTTTCACTGTCATACGGTGACAACGTCAATGACATTGGTGCGTCCTAGAAACGAAAAAAATCCAAACTACCAAATTCTCAAAAATTGCTCTTAGTTAAAATAAGTGCTAAAGTGTTGTTGTTAATATTCCTAAACAATACAAAAGCATATTTTTTTAAAATACACTTGTACAAAAAATAATAGCAATACAAATTTTAACTACCAAAGTCTACAAATCACAAAACAATAATAAATGTCTCCAACATTTGTATGTTTTAATGCAAAGGTTCCATATTAAAAAAAGTAAAAGAGAAAATATTCAGCTTACCTCCTCCACGCTCAGCACATGATAATCCTCGAGAGCAGCACACACAAACAAAACGTAGGTCACAAGAGACAATGACACTGACAGGGAACACAACAAAAATGTATTTAAATGAGCACATATTTAACTTAAGCGAAGAAAAAACTTGCATTATTATATTTTAATCATTAATTAAACTAAAGCAAAAATTCCTGGTAAACGTACAAGATATAAATCCTGGTATAAATACAACTTGTATTTATGTAGCATTTCTATTCTGTATAAACGTGAGACATAGTATTAAATAAAATAAAGATGTTATAAATTTATTTGGTCTACATAGTTCTCATACAAAGTGAATTAAAACGAATCGGCAAGTAGTTGATAAATCTGAGAAATTATACGAAAAGAGCTTGAATGATGGACGACCAAAAGATATTCGTATTAGTAACAGAAACAGTTTGAAAACATTTTGATATAATTTTAAATGAGAGTATGTGTTTTTTTCATTTCCCCTTTGTTTACACAGTAATTGGCTTGATACGAGAACATTTCATTGGAAATGTACAGATAATTTAGGAAGCGTATTTTAGTTTATATCAAAGCATGGCATTTATGTATGATCCCTTTTCTATGTTGGTTCCCAGCGTTTTGAATTCAAACAAAGAAATTTGAAGCACATTTATTACATACGTATTCCCAACTATTCAATATTTAATAGTATTAAAAATATAAGTATAAACAAATGCTGTTTAGGAAGAAAAGTAATTACTAAAATAAATGAAAATTTGACTTCAACTTCAATGAAAATACAGAGAAATATTGGTTACGCCTTAAAAAACTATTGATGCCAAAAATCCTGTTATTGAATTCCAATATATCATATGATTCTTGTAAAAGCAAATTCTACGTTCCGCCTAATTTTTTTTCCACGGCCAAATTCAGTTGTGGAGCTTACTTGTTGAAAGTAATGCTAACTATTACAACACCAATGTACCAAACTGTACCAAACGTTTCCCTTACACAACGCACATGAAAATATAAGTGGCCTTTTTTTGGCTTTTTCGTATTCAACGTTTTCGTGTAAAAATTCTAGCAAGGTGCTTGCTGAATTCATCGGTAACTAAAACATTCAAATTGAGTGTCCTTTGTAAGTTAGATTTTAAGCGTAACTGGAGCGTGTGGATGTCGGGGTTGTGGCCTTACCTTGTCGTGGCCCGTAGCGCTGGCCACGTCGTCGGGTAACGTGGATGAGCAAACGCCCCCCGAACACACTGCGCACTGCAACAAAAAGTAGCAAATGAACTCCAAGGGCTCAAAGGTTTACCCTACAAGAGAATGAAGAATGAATTATGTTGGGCAGTCGAATTTGTCTTATTATTGCACCAAAAACGAAGTTTTGAATTTAAATTCTGATCATATATTTCGACCTTGACGGTACACCTCAGCGTACCACCTGGCCCTAATATGAGAATGAAAAGTGACATTGCTAACATTCTTGAAATAGCAAATATAATAAAGAATTTTGCTCGAATAATAATAATAATAATAATAATAATAATAATAATAGTAATAATAATAAATGTTTCGAAAGACAACACTTCTTATGCACATCTTTGGAATGCCAACAAACATCACTATTAAACTACTAATCGAAAGCTTGCTCTAGAAATTCTTCGGGAAGTAGGGGTCATCGAGATTGGACTGAATATGACTGATAAAGTACGAGTAATGTCAATTTTAATCTTTATACTGAACCAGAGGTGTCTACTTCCTTCAATCTCAATATAACGTTTGTATTAAATGTTCAACAAAACTACATATTTTTTAACTGTAATATGACGTATTTTGTTTCATTTCTTCACAGAATGAATACTCGGGCGAGTCTTTTCAACCTAGTGAAAAGTAAAATCAATTATTTTTCAGCTATTTTACAATATACAATTTATTGGTGCATTACGACGTAACCGTTTTCAATAAATTGAGTTAAAAAAGTTTGGAAGGGGCTCGGATGCTGCATTTGGCATCCCTTCTGTTCACTTGATTGATTTATTAACATTACCGGGCCCGTCAACTGCCAAGGTTATCATTCCCGTACGTTTACTGCGTGTGTTTTCGGAGAGAGGTGGCAATGTTGGTAGTGTATCTTCTCCCGCTGGTAGTGTAGTGCATGCAAGTGTAAATGTGTTACATAAGGGTGATGATAGGACAAGGAAGATGAAGCAAAGATCGCCCGAGGTCCGAATCCCGTTTGTGAGAGTATTGGTAAGGTACTTCCCAGTATTGATCGCAGAAACCACAGAAAACTACCTATCACAGCAGCCGGTCAGTATAATTCTCCGCCAGACTGCGACTGATTTCGATATAGCTTATGTTGAAAAGATCGCCGTCACCTGATCGCCGCAGGCTGAGGAACCCTAGTACCTCGCGTCAAGAGGCCCTGCAGTGACATCAGTTGAGACGCGTTGCACGGCCTTTCTGACCAATCGCGGGCCACCAGCACGCACCTTGTCGGCGCCGTCGGCGGGCGCCTGCTGCTGCTGCGGGGGCGGCGGCGAAGGCCCCGGGTCGTCGAGCGGCACCGGCGCAAGAGAGGAGATTCAAGGTAGAAGTCTTGCATTTATAGAGTTCAACTATATTACACACACCAAATTTTAGTCTAGGTGTAATTCGAAAGCAGCAAGCACGAAGCTAAACACATCTATAATATACCAGCTGTTGGCATATTTGCCGGGTTCAGAAGAGAGCAACTAAATGATAGTTTGCAGTTGAGATAATATTAATCAGTCTGAATACCACAACAAAGTTATCAACAGCCGCAAGCAGTATTCATACAAAATTGTCACAGAACTTCATTGAGAAGACAGTAACAATACGTGTAAAAAGAGTAAGACGGACTTACAAACGTCGACTAAATCATACCAAATGTATTTATAGATATACAAGCAAAACACTTAATACAAATTGGTACACATAAAGTGCCCAGTGGGATACAGGCCAGGTTTGCGGGAGGTTTCTCGACAACCAGCCGATGTATCGCTTCACGTACTCGTTAGAATGATTATATTGGTATATGATATATTGTCATTGTCATTACTTTTCATCCTATCTTAGTTTCCTGGAAGAAAAAAAATATTTCTTAATTTCCTTTTTATCCTACTAACCTGGGCACAGTAAGAGAGTTCCGTAAGAAAAAAGCCACTCTCTGGACTCCACCGAGAACTTAATAACTATATACACGGATCCAGCCCTCAAATACGAGCGCGCCTGCCTGTAAGCTACTTAACCACACGTCGAGAGCTGTATAAAGCCGGGATTGGGAAGAGTATTCAAAAATGCAATAATTTTCTTATTTTGTCCGGATGAGGTTTTTCTTAGAGACCCGTTTGCCTACGGCGGCGACGGGGCGGACGTGAGTAAGAGGGGGTAGGGGCGATCCAAGTGGAGTACTGAGGAGTGGTTGTGGGACGGCGGGGTTGAGTCAAGGATGCGGGGCTTGAATATATGTGCTGCGGGTATGGGGTGTAGGGGTGGAGGTAACTGCAAGGTAGCCGAGTGAAGGAGCACGACGGTGAGGGGGGTGTAAGAGATTTGGGTGTGATTGGGGCGGGTAGAAGTATCACGATGGAGGGTTGGTTGAGGGAAGGATGGAAGGAGGGAGGTTGGGCCGTTGGGCGGTGTGGTCAGTCGGTGGAATGAGGGGGTCGCGGGGTTGAGGTCCCATAGGTCGGTTGGGAGCGTGGGGGTCGGACGGCCGGGTGGGAGGTTTATGGCAATGGCAGGGGGGTTGTGGTGGGGGTGGGTTGGCAGTGGTGGATGGGGGCGGTCGCGGCCA